CCAATTAGACTCTCATAAGTCTATGGGCCCTGATGAGATTCACCCCAGAGTAATGAGGGAACTGGCAAAAGAACTTGCCAAACCTCTTGCAATCATCTACCAGCAGTCCTGGTTAAGTAGACAAGTTCCAGCAGACTGGAAGTTAGCAAATGTAATAACGTTTCTCCTGGTTGGTAAACATATATTTTTTTAACGGACTGACTTTATTCTTAAAAGAAAGAAAATCTTAATTAAAATTAAAAATAAGCAAACATAGACCCTCAACATTTCCTTTCATGATATATGAAAACAGTTGATCTTGGTCCAAAATTAAATTTGACAGTGATATAATGTGTAAAAAAAAAATGAGGAAAAAGGTCTATAATTTTTCAGTATGTTTTCCCTCTGAATAATGAAAAAGGAATAAACAAAAAGACCTCTGATGTTCTTCTCTGTGGATAGTTCCTGAAATCACGTTTCACAACTATTTCAGAAAAAAAAAAAAAAAAAAATTTAAAAAAATGGTCTGAGTGGCCGTGATAATTTCTTTTACAAGTACAATCCATAACTGATCTCTTTGCATTCTTGTATTTTTATAACTATGTTTATATAAAAGAGGAGAAAACATTACTAGTTCTCCTGCCTCCTTCTCAGTTTTACTGTTTACTCCCCCTTAGCTTGCAGCCACAAGAACATGAGAGTCGTATCACCCATGTTTGTAAAGCAGATATCTATACCTGGGCTAGTCACTTCAATAGAGAAAATAGGTATTTTTATGGTGTGATTAAGTTCATCTTCAAGTAAATAAACTTTAGCACTATTTCATGCACTCTGAGAGCACAACAAGGAAGATATATATCTCAGGATTAGGAGGTGCCAAATGGGGGTCCACAAAATACCTGGGATAAAGGTTACAGGGTGTGATACAGGTTGTGTCGGGTTTACATGGTAGGGTTTTGGTAGTGGCAGGGGGAGGAGCTTCAGAGTGTCTTCTGTGAGATGTCAGAAGCTGTCTCCATGTCAGACAGAGCCAGTTCCAGCAGGCTCCAAGACCCACTGCTGGCCAAAGTAGTAGTGTCTCTGTGATAATATGTTTAAGAAAGGGTAAAAACTGCTGTGCAACAGCAGCTGAGAGAGGAGTGAGAATACGTAAGAGAAACAAATAAGCAGATACCAAAGTTAGTGAGGAAGGAGGGGAGGAGGTGATCAAGGCACCAGAGCAGACATTCCCCTGCAGCCTGTGTTGATTACCCTGCAGTATGCGCTTTCCATGGGATCACATTTTCCTTCAGGGCACATCCACCTGCTCTGGCGTGCGGTCCTCTACAGGCTGTCAAGTGGTTATCTACTCCACTGTAGACCTACATGGGCTACAGGGGGACTATTTATGTCACCATGGTCTTTGCCACTGGTCTGTCTTGGAGCCAGCTGGAATTGGCTCTGTCCAGCATAGGGACAGCTTCTGGCAACTTCTCACAAAACTCACCCAGCACATCCCCTGTCAACAAAACCTTGCCATGTAAACCCAATACACAGGTACAGGGCCACACAAGGATACAGGGTACAGGGCCACACGGGTCTAAAAGAGATTTGCCTGAAATCTTGTGAATGTAAATAATTTTGCAACAATTAACCCAGTGGCCATGGAGAGATTGGCAAAATTGAATTGCTGCAGACATAGATAGAATTAAACTTCTCACCATATAACCACATATATGAGAATAGGTTCAGCTCAGTTTTGAGGATCTAAGTTTCATTGTCTTACATACATGTGCTCAGGCACAATGTGAGGATTAAGTTCAGTTATCAAATATTTAGTGTTATTCAAGAACCCCTGCAGTTTCCAAGGCATCTTCACAGCACTGGTGAATATGACACAAGACTTATAGAAAAAAATCATATTTTCCTTGAGAACAAATGGGATTATCTTGGGATCATCTAAAATTGTACTAGAACCCTCCATACAACTAAATAACACCCTGGAGATACACTCGGTGCCCATAGAGCAATTGGATGCATGTTAAAGTAGGTAAAGACATAGAGCCATCTAGAATAGAATAGAATAGAATAGAATAGAATAGTTCAGTTGGAGCGGACCTACAATGATCATCCAGTCCAACTGCCTGACCACTTCAGGGCTGACCAAAAGTTAAAGCATGCTGTTATGAACATTGTCCAAATGCCTCTTAAACACTGACAGGCATGGGACATCAACCACCTCTCTAGGAAGCCTGTTGCAGTCTTTGATGAGCCTGTCCATAAAGAAAGGTTTCCTAACATTAAGTCTGAACCTCCCCTGACACAGCTTTGAACCATTCCCACACATCCTATGACTGGATACCAGGGAGAAGAGATCAGCACGTTCCTCTCCACTTCCTCTCCTCAGGAAGCTGTAGAGAGCAAGGAGGTCACTCCTCAGCCTCCTTTACTCCAAACTAGACAAACCCAGAGTCTGTAGTTGGTCCACATAGGACCTGCTTTCCAGCCCTTTCACCAGCTTCATTGCCTTCCTCTGGACACATTCAAGGACCTCCACATCCTTCTTAAATTGTGGGGCCCAGAACTGCACACAATACTCAACGTGAGGCTGCGCAAATGCTAAATACACTGGGATAACAATCTGTTCTGACTGGTGGGTTATACTGTATTTGATGGACCTCAGGATGCGGTTTGCCCTCTTGGCTGCCAGGGCACACTGCTGACTCCTGTTGAGACTGTAGTCAGCCAGCACCCCCAGATGCCTTTCTGCAGGGCTGCTTTCCAGCCATTCCTATCCCAGTTTATTCTTTTGTCCTGCATTACTCCAACATTCCTGCAGAATTCAGGACTTGGACTTGTTAACTTTCATGCTACTGATGAGTGTCCAATGCTCCGATCTGCCTAGATCCCTCTGCCAGACCTGTTGTCCCTTGAGTGAGTCAACAGCACCTCCCAGTTTAGTATTGTCAGCAAATTTGCTAATGGTGCATCCAACTCCTGCATTAGATCATTGATAAATATATTGAACAGAACTGGCCTTATAATTGAGCCCTGAGGAACACCACTGGCTACTGGTCACTGGATTTCACCGTACTCCACTGATCACACTGATTGGATCCCCATCATCTGCCAAATGGTAGTTTAGACATTAAGGGCCCAATAGGTAGAGATCAGGAGCTAGTGTCCTCTAGTATATCCTATAGTATTTGAAACCATTACACATGCCAACAGATATGACTCAACACTTAAGACATACCCAGAACCTTCTGTAGTTACAGCTTGAGGCTAGAGAACAAACCAAGGAGCATCTTAAATGGCATTAGACACTGACCTCTAGGCAATCAAATTGTGCTTCTGTATATTGACTTTGCATTTTGGACACTTAAATTTAAGACATCTGGAGCTGACTCTTACTCTCATAGTATTGTTCATGTGTTTAAACATATATTTTACATACTATTTGAGATATTCTAGTGTGTCTCAGAAGAAGAGAACAAAGGAAGATAGAACAAAGTATTTATGGGAGACTTATACTCTTCTGATGTGACAAATGAGGGACTAGAATATCCTAGTGTATCTCAAATGGCACCTGATCCCTTTCACATTCAGATGCACAGCATTATATATCCGATCCATTTGCCCTAATGTGTAATAAGGTATGCATGTATATGCTTTCAGGGATTGCATCTTTGACCAGTTATGGGTCTGTTTGACCATAGTGGATTTTCCTGTCATTCAGTGTTGTGAACTACAGTGTAACAGGGAGATGTAAACATATCCAGAAAATTATTTAATGCAGAAAACTAAATTCCTATCAAAAAAAAAAAAATCATTAACTTCAACTTCTGGAATTGCCATTTTCTGTTTTTCATACTTTTGCCACCTGTGTTTTGCACTTGAGGCACTTACACTCTGTAAAGTGTCTCCTGAAATGCCAGTTATTGGAGTTAACACTGTAACAAAAAACAGGATGGCACAGATAATCCTGCATCCTTTCAGATGCTGGGAACTCTGAGTTGTGCAGCATCAAGCAGACCTCTAATCAGGGAACAGTATGCTGTGCAGATCCATCTGTGGAAATGTTACCTACTTTTGGTCACTTAAGCTATTATAGGGAACAAGTGTTCCCTTAAAAGGGAACAATTCTATCCATCATTCCTACTGTCAAACAGAAAGGAGGTTCACATAAGAAGTTCTTAGTGCACTGTTAGGTAAAGGCAAAGACACACAAGTGGAGTGATCACAGGGAGCAAGCGGGAGCTGATTGCAGGTTACACTGTTAGATTCAATTGGCAAAGTTTATCCTACAGCCAATGGATATGCACAGCATAACAAAGGCCTGAAGGCCAAGCTGTACATGCAGCAAAGCTTTTGCCTGCGCCTACTCCAGTTAAATGTTACATGAATCACTAATTCCTCAGTCTGCAATGGTCTTCAAGTCACATTTACTACACACTACCATATGCCAAACATGAGGTCATGTGAAGGTACATCTATACAAACAGTATAGATACAGCAAGAATAAAATTTTCTGTATACAGTAAGATTGTGATAGAATAAGGAATAAGTTAACACTGTAACAAAAAACAGGATGGCACAGATAATCCTACATCCTACACCAGTCTATTTTTTTGCAGGTGTTTTAGCTCTCTTTATCTGTGTCTGTAGGGATTTGGCAACTGATTTTCAGTTATATCCAAGGTTCCTACATGCTTTTGAAAATTGTGAATCTAGGTTTTAGGATTTTCAAAAGGAAATTATCTATCAGCCAAGGTTCTAGTATGACTTATTATATTATTGTTGTAGCAGAATAATTTATAGCCAGGTGTAGTTCAGTCATCAAAGCACCCTCATGAACAGAAAGGAGACATTTCCATATAGAAACAATGATATGATTTTTTCCTTGCCAGACTTCAGTGCAGCGAGACAGTGATGACGGAGTCAGCAATGAACAAACTGTAGTGGTCTTACTCAACTACATTTTAAGAAGGAAACTTCTCACTACTGTCCATGCTCCTCTGTATCCTTAGCCTAGGAACTTATCAGTCTGCAGAGCAGCTTGTCCTTATAGTCTTTCTCAGAATCTCTTTCACCTCCTTGTTTCTCAGACAGTAGATTACAGGGTTGAGTGCTGGAGTGAATACAGCATAAAAGACTGACACTATTTTGTTGAGGTTGAATGGATGGATCCTCCTGGGCCTGGCATACATGAAGAGAGTGGTTGAGAAAAAGATAATCACTACAGTGAAATGGGAGATACAAGTGGAAAAGACTTTTCTCCTTCCCTGGGCTGAAGGCATACACAAGATAGTTGACAAGATACAGCAGTAAGAGAAAACAATGATCAAGAGAGGTATCAGCAGGATCACTAAGGCTAATACAAAGTCCAGTGTCTCTGCAAGGGACATGTCAGTGCAGGAAAGGTTCAGGACTGGAGAGATGTCACAAAAGAAGTGGTTTATGACTTGTGGACCACAAAATTTGAGGTGTGAAATAAAAGACACCTTGACAAAGGAAATGGAAAAACCTCCTGCCCATGAAAGAATCGACAGCTGAAAGCACAACTTGTGGGTCATGACGGCTTGGTAGCTCAGAGGATGGCAGATAGCCAGATAGCAGTCATAGGCCATTACAACCAAGGGACACATTCAGTGCACATAAGGGAGATAAAGAAGTATAACTGGGTCATGCAGCTGGAGAATGAGATGGTCATGCTCTGTGACCGGAACCCAAACAAAAACCTAGGCAATGTTACTGAGATGTATCAAATCTCCAGGAAGGACAAGTTCCCCAGGAAATAATACATGGGCTTTTGCAGGTGATAGTTCCTTTTCACCACAAAGATGATGATTGCATTCTCAGTGATTGTTACCATGTAGGTGACCAGAAAGACCAGGTAAATTAAGGTCTGGACCGGTGGTCGATAGGAAAATCCCAGAAGAATGAACTCATCGGTAGAAGTTTGGTTCTTCATTCTACACTGGGTGCCCACAGCTACTCCTGCAGGTGTCAAAGAAGAAGAAAAAGCAAACGTAAGAGTTCCACAGAAGGAAGTTTGTGTGAAGAATTAGGGCACTTAATAAACTGTTTCCTGTGGAAACTTTTTACAAAGTAGAACCAACATTTCTTACATGAAAGAAAGAAATTGAGAGGGACACATATCTTTGTTTCCAACAATTTGTTAGCTTGCTTTCAATAGCAACACTGGGAAAACAACCAAAACTTAGTAAAAAACGCTCCAGAAGACTTCTGTAATGCACACTATTTTCCTGTAGGATGGAGTAGGGAAGAACACAGAGTCTCTGGCTGCTGATACTCACACTGCTGAAAACAGCACCACAAAAGTTCAGGTAGTATATAGATAAAAAAACCCAAAACCATACATGTAACATACAATTTTGAAAATGTTGGACTTTCTTCATTTCCTGTTAGGAAATTATCCACCTCTATTTTTCAGTGACAGCAGTGAGGTTTATCAGAAGAGACTGCTATAGAGATAACTTTTTTAGCTACAGATTTTAGGAGTTTATGTTTAAGCAAGAAATTTTTAGTAAATCTAAAGGCCGGCTTCTCCAGTGGGTGATTCACCTAGTCTGTATTAAACACCTGCCTTTGAAAGAGAACAATAATTCTTTCTCGTGTTAAATTTGCACTTAGCTCTCATTTGGATATCTATCTAGTTGATGGTTTAACTTCAATAACTTGAAGTAGATATTGCATGTTTCTGTTGATTGTTTTGCTCTAGATTCCTTTTATAATCAATGGATATCTGCTTAAGGCATTAATTGAGCATCAGTAGCCTAGAGTATAATTAATATTGTCTTTAGATATATCTCCTTCCAAAACACATCACATATTTGCACTCCAGAAATGCCTATTTCTCTTCAGTATTTTAGTAATACTTGACTGACCTCGAAGGAGTTGTCTGTATCGTAAATGATTTCAGATGGAGGAGATGAGGTTTACTCTTAATACTTTTAAGGGAAATGATAGCACATAATGAACACATAAACATACCTTATTCCAATCTACTTACTTTTAGATTTTACTGCTCATTAATATATGCACATTTGTATATGCATGAGAGAAAAACTTCTCTGTACAAAGGATGCATTGATCTATTCAGAACAGTAATATACTCTTTAGCTATTTTCTTTCATCACATACCTGAACATGTGTGGTCCTTTGAGTAAATTGAATGACAAATTTGTCTGGAGACAAGCAACAAAGTTTTTGCGGTTTCTTTCTCCAAATATGAAAACAGAAGACTTCCAGTAAAGGGCAGCAGGATACTTTTTTAATACCTTTTGTTCATCCAAAAGGAGAAAAAACACCCTTTCAACGGAAAAAGTCCTGGGCAAGTTCCATGTTACAAAGATCCTGAGCAAAAAAATATTCCCCATAGAGAAGAGCAGCGACTGTCTAAAACTCAATGAAGAGTAAAAACAGCACAAGAGATCACGAGATATCTACCCTCACATTCAGCCCCTACAGTGCTCCTTCTATCTTGTCTTTACTACTCCTGTCTTCCTAATGAACTTAATAAAATGAACTGTACATCTCCAATTTGAAAAGTCATTTGCAAAAAGAATAGACATTGATGTGATACACATCAGTGGGTATTTTTGTATTTACAAAACACACTGTGTAGTTTTATATTTACAAGGCACACTTACAAAATATAAAAATCAAGACAAGGAATGGCAAGGAAAGAAAAACTTGCTTTTTTATTAAGAGGGAAAATTTAATGGAAAGACTTTATGCATTTTGCTATTATTTTTGACTGATAGGTGTATTCCCCCATTATACATCTGGCAGTTTACATGATGAAAATATGGGATGGGATGGGATGGGATGGGATGGGATGAGACAATCAAGAAGAATTGCTTTTTGAAGCATTCAACTCAATAATTTATACCATTATGGATACATGATTTCCTGATTTATTAATCTTTTACTGTAAGAAAGCATTGAGTTGCTTACCAATTCAGGATTTCCAGGTATATATGTAGCCTTCAAACTCTTGTAACGAGCACTGCATCAGATATATTTTTTCTAATCTACCTGAAGGGTTGTCCCCTTGTAGATTAGCACTCAGTGTCTTTTTCTGGGAAAACTTCCCTTGTACAAAAAGGCCTGAACTAATAAAGTCTGATGCCAATTAAAGAAATGAAAGGGGAGAGGAAGCTTATTATCACTAACTATCTTCAATAATTATCTCCAGAAGCTAATTTATATGTATAATTGTACATAGTAGAAGAAGAGTCTGAAATGAGATCAGGGGAATAAAGACCATAACAGAAAATAGACCTGTATTGCTTTGTACAGAATAACAAGTGTTCTTTCTCTAAAACATATTAGGAAGACAAAACTAGGTAGGAACTGTATTTGCTGAAATGTTTGGGAATTCTGCAGTTTTATTTTGAATAAAGAGAGACATTCTGAGAATTATTTTTTTCCTTTTTAAAAAAATCTCCTGCAGTTTACACATCTAAACATTAAAAATGCAGGAATTAGTTCATGTTTAAGAAATCTAAATATAGACATCTATGTAGATGTATCTATCTCATAAGTACTTGTAATACAGATTTTATTTTCTAAGCAATATCATCTTAATGTCATCATCTAAATGTCATTGGACCTATGTAGTCACAAAATTGCTTCCAGGAATGGTGAGATATCATAGTATATATACTATCAATCACTTGTGAGTATGTATATCAATGTTATGTACAGCATAGCCTCCTTCAAAAGAAAAACTGCGAAAACATACACAGAAGTAACTGTATTCTAATGCAGTTTCCCTTGTAAACAGCTGAAGGACCAGGAGTATGGAATGCATTACAGAGGGAAGACAATTCATAACTAAGATGTCATCTGATGTATTGGATGTGTCACTACAAAAACTGACATCACTTAGTTTCCTTTGTTTTCTGGTCATGTTTATTCTTCCTTCTAGAGAGGTTGTTACACCTCTGATGGTATTCCCCTGAATAACCCCAAGGCACAGCACAGGTAGTCAAAGAACTCAGCAACAGGAAACTTCATTTAAAAAAAAAAAAAAAAAAAACACAACAAAAAAAAATTGTATTTAAAAAAAAAAAAAAAAAAAAAAAAAAAAAAAACACAAATCAAAACAAGACATTCTTTGCTGGACTAAGTACTCTGCTTATATGAAAAAGCAGTGAGAGATGGAAAGCTAATACGAAACACTTTTACTTTTCACTTGAAACAATCTAAATTGCAAAGCTTTGAATGTAATTAGTAAATTGTCAATTGCAATTGTTCCCCAACTGATTTTTTTTCCTTAATATAAAGTGTATTTTCTACCAAAGAAAAACTAGAGGTGGCATTGTTTAAGAATTCTGGAGAATGTCTATCAAAGTTTTTTACTCTTCTGTAATTTTTCTCTCTCCTATAAACATTGTTTTCCATTTAGAAATAACAACAGGAATTCAAACATAAATTTAAAGTTCAATGGACCAACCTGTAGTTCTTACCCATTTTAAAGATGGATGGAATTTTACATTTTGGAGACTTTTCAGACTTCCCCTCATTTCCACAACCTTTCAAAGAGACTACAGTTAAATGAAGCTATTTGGAACCAAGTTCAAAACAAATGAAATAAGGCAATCTTTTTACAAAAGTTTATCTGTTAAAATGAGATAGGTCTAGTTTGTGTAACTGACAGCATTAGCATGTGAAGTATAACTGAATTTTGCCTTAGTAGAAGTAGGTAAAATACGATTAACCACATCTCCCAAATGGTAAAATAGCTTAGTGTGCTCAAGAAAATGCATAGCCAAAATATTCAAACAAGATGTTAATCACAAAGGAATGGAAAACTTCAGAAATTGCTGGGACAAACAAATTGTGAAAGCCGGTAACTGTAACAGCATACCAGAGACCACTGATACAATTTGAATGGACAAACCACCAATATGGTATTCCCTACCCAGTCTTATTACTAAGGACACTTAGGAATGTCTGGTTTATCCAGGAGTACCTGATAGACTTCACAGGGAAAAAACCACTGGCATCCACAACTATCTCTCCAGGAAAATCCCATGTCCTTGTAGCAACATAATATACAGCATGGCAGGACTTACCACACTATCCTGCTCAACCTCTCCCTAGAATCTCATTTTCTCTCTCCCACAGAATGAGGAAGCTGCATTAAAAACTCGCTTGGCTTCTCTTTCTCTCTGTGCCATCTCTTGACAAAATCAGCTAAGTTGGGTCATTCATAACATTGCATATATCTGTGATGAAACTACGCTGGTATCCAAAACCATTTAGACCCACAGTGTCATTTGGTCTTAAAGCATAACAAGAGGATAGCTGGAGCCACAGAACTCCTTTCCAAACAACATTGTGATGCAAGAACTTCACTTTAATTCAAAGGGAGACTGAATAAATATTTGGAAGAATGGTCTGTTGAGGGTTACATAGTAGACAGGGAGGGATCTGGACAGGCCTGATCGATGAGCCGAGACCAACTGTATGAGATTCAACAAGATCAAATGCCGGGTCCTGCACTTTGATCACAACAACCCCATGCAACACTACAGACTTGGGGACGAGTGGCTGGAAAGCTGCCCGGCAGAGAAAAACCTGGGGATGTTCGTCGACAGCCGGCTGAACATGAGCCGGCAGTGTGTCTAGGTGGCCAAGAAGGCCAACAGCATCCTGGCCTGTATCAGAAACAGTGTGGCCAGCAGGACTAGGGAAGTGATCATCCGTTTTTACTCCACACTGGTGAGACCATACCTTGAATACTGTGTTCAGTTTTGGGTCCCTCACTACAAGAAGGACATTGAGCTGCTGGAGTGTGTCCACAGAAAAGCGACAAAGCTAGTGAAGGGCCTGGAGAACAAGCCTTACGAGGAGCGGCTGAGGGAGCTGGGGTTGTTTAGTCTGGAGAAAAGGAGGCTGAGGGGAGACCTTATCACCCTCTACAACTACCTGAAAGGA